CTGAGTCCTTGGGATCTAAGTTAGCAATTACCTGCACTGGGTCTGCATCATTTTTGTTCAAGTGACACAGCCCAAGCTACAGGCTGAAATTTCACCAGCGCAACCTCCAAATTAAAACTCTATAATGCAGTTGTGCCATTTTATCAGATGGATAACATGGGGAAGTTTTCAGTGCAGAAGTGACTTGTGTCTCAATGGGTGTGTGTGTGTGTGTGTGTGTGTGTGTGTGCGCCAATTCACAGATGCATTAAGGGTAGTATTGTGAAAAATATGAAAAAAAAACCAATAGGATTTTTCACGCACAAGTTCTGCGCAGGCTCAAACCTTCATCAGGTTGAATACACACATTGAATTCTACTCAGAGAACCTCAGTTTTCAGGTAAGCAACCTGTTCTTTTCTTCCTTCGTTGGTAATTAGCTAACTAATCGTAGGATGGGCTTTCTCTGTCTTTCTCTTTTTCCTATTTCTGCTGCACTCTTGCCGCTGGTCACCAGGTGGCAGTGGGGGACTTTGCGAAGGTCACCAACGGGCAGCATCTCCCTGCAGACATGATCATTTTATCTACCAGGTCAGCTATCCCTGAATGTATGTGAACCTGGGCTTCTGTTGAACTGAGATTTTAAGGCACATTATTTGCAATTTTAAAAATAAGCAAGCCTGAATCTCCCTCCCTTCATTTTATATTGTTTACAACACGGGGTTGTTCTGACCGAGGCTTCCCAAGAGCATGAAACAGACTCCTTGTCCCAGCAAAAATCCTTTTATTAATTTACATTGAATTCTGCTCACTCATAGCCGGCAAAGTCTTTCAAAGGAGGATTTACAGTCATACGCCTTATCTGGCTTGGAGAGCTGACAGGCCGATATCTGCAGAACTTGGCAAGGAGTCTTGGAGAGTCATGAACCAATTAAGCGAACTAGTTGTCTCCTGCAAACTCCACTCCCCTTTCGCTCCTCTTTTATTTCCTCTGGGAGGGGCCATTCATCATCTGGCCTTACTTCCAAGTTGACCCCTCCTCTTTAGTTGTTCCCTTCATCTGGAAACTCTGCTCATGCACACACTGGGAACAGGCTCTAGCTGTTTGCCTCATTGTTGATTGATTCTGACAACAGCTGATAACTGGCATACGGCTCTGCCCCCCTCTCGGCCTCTGACACAGAGCCCTCATCAGACTCCAGGACCTGCCCATGTTCACTATTCGAATCTGCTGCCAGCTCTGCTGCTGTTGGCAGGCCAAACAGGGTCCATAAGGCTGGTGCACACTACACTAATCTTAATAAGTATTACCCAAATGTGGAAGATTAGCATGGGGTTTCCCCCCATTTTTAGGTTGAAATACTGCAGTTTTCTGAATAATTTCCCATTGACAAAACCTAATACTATGCTCTCTTACCCTGTACTATTCAGTAATAATGATAATGTTTAATAACTTGATTCTAGCCCCTTGCTAACCAGCTTATTGAATATATAAACGTACATAAAAATTAATAGTAGCGATTTAAAACACTGACATATTCCAACATATATTACAATAGTGAAATCATAGATTTGCGAATTTTCTACATTATCATCTTTTGTTAAATGAGATACAGTACATATGAATGTTTACAAAGCTAACATTTCCAACAAAAGATAATTTCTACATTATCTTTTGCCCAAATGGATAGGTTCTTTCAGAAATGGGCAGCATGCAAAGAAAACAAATAATTCCTGACCTAACTAGCTAATGCCATACTTCTGAATAGTATCAAAATTGAAAACTGCCCCTGATTAAAAGAATAACTAGCTTCCTTTAAAACAGTCTTCCTGTTTGCTTTATGGTCATTTTTAAACTTTTTTTTTCTCTGAGGAAAAAGTTTGCTTCTCAACCATTTTCTCTGAATTTCCTTTCTCTTGGTGAGTGCCTTTTACTGGAGCATGTTCCATGTCCTTTTTAGGTCTTTCATTAATCAGAAAATACAGCTGTTTGCCTCCTCACGATAGTCCAGCTGTGAGGTTTACAAGGGATTGTACCCACAGTTTTCTTCTTGGGAATAAACTATTCTACTTTAAATTTGCTGTTTTTAAGATTCAAAAGTTTCTGAACTAGGCACACATATACAAATACAGCAGTGGTGAAATTCAAATTTTTTTTTTACTACCAGTTCTGTGGGCATGGCTTGGTGGGTGTGGCAGGGAAAGGCTACTGCAAAATCCCCATTCCCTCCCCACTGCAGGGGAAAGGTTACTGCAATATCTCCATTCCCTTCCCACTCCTGGGGGAAGGATATTGCAAAATCCATTCCCACCCCACTCTGAGGCCAGCCATAGCTAGTATTTGCCGGTTCTTTGAACTGCTCAAATTTTCCGATACCGGTTCTCCAGAACCTGCTGAATTTCACCCCTGAAACACATATAAAATACCTGTGCACTTAATATCAAGGCTAAAAAGTGTTGACTTCCAATATACATTTACTTAAACATTTCATGATGACAAATAAATAGCAATAATTAAATTAATGGGATATGCATAAATAAGGTTTTAAAAAAGTATGAGGTAGTATTGCCTCCTTCCTAAGGTTGAGAGAGTGATTGACTCAAAGTCACCTAGCTGACTTTGTATCTAATGCCAAAGTAGAGCCCAGAGTCTCCTGGTGCCTTAACTGGGTCTCCAACAATTCTCACCATCTATTATTTATTCAGGAATATAGGATTCGTTATAGTCCCTAGAAAAAACTTGACCTTTCTTTGCACAGAAAAAGTGGTTGACAAGCTACACCCTTTCTTACTTGTCAAGTGTATTTTCTGACAGTGAAACAATATGAGGAAGTTGTGAAAATTTCCTCAGAAAAGTAATATTTATACCATAAACTTCTGGTCATAATTAGTGCTGGATGTGAGCTGTAGAAGTTTAAAAGAGGCAAAATGTTCATATTGATCTACCAAATAAATTAAAACTTGAAACCCACATTTTTGCATCATGAACCTATAACCAAGTGTCCCCTTATTTTAAGATAATGCAATTATTCTGCAATTTTACTGGAGCTTTATGAAAGCTAGTTAGGGCTGAGTTGCTGGAATGACTATACAACCAAAAGATTTGCCGTGCAAGTTTTTTTTTAAAAAAAGGCAAAATTTGAGTAGAATTTCAACTAAGCATCATCATCCTGGTTAAAAATAATCTGTTAAATTTGAAAAAAGTGTTTTTTAAAATAAGCGGCTAAGGTAGACCCCTCCTCTAGTCCTCTAAATACAGCCTCGTGTTAAAAGTGTCAGGTATATTTTACTTACTGTTTTTCTGTATAAAGGCCTCAGTTCACCAGAGTTTGCATGCAGTTGAGGTAGTGATTTTTCTGATATACTACATAATTTTTTTAGTGTGTGCCTACTAAAATAAGAAAACATATGATTATTTAAATCCGTTTGGCAATAATAATAAAAATTTGGGGGAAAATCAATAGTTGAATAAAATAAAGGATTCTGAAAAGCCAGTCACTTTTTTTTCAAGGTTTTCTTTAAAGATGATTGTTTTGTTACTTTTTTTTTTTTTTACAGTGAACCTCAGGCAATGTGTTATATTGAAACAGCTAATCTTGATGGAGAGACGAACCTTAAAATACGACAGGTAAAATTAAATTTTGTTTTAGTGTTTGAAAGTGATGAAGTGATAACTTCATCACTTATTGGACCTGGGTACTTGAGAGACCGCCTGCTGCCAATTACCTCCACCAGACCGATTAGATCCCACAGA